TCTGTAGTTAAAAGTTTGCATTTCCCTTACATGCCTGTTGGGATCAGGCCTAACACCCACTTCGGGCCACATATGACAGGCCCAACCATGCACACACAGACCCAAGAGGAGGAGACATACCCACGTGAGCAGCACCACGTGGGCCAATGAATTACTTACATATAGTGATGCATGTCAGCATTTAGGGGTATAAATACCCCCAACCACCAACAATGAAGGTAATTAATCTCTACGCTTCTCTCCCTGCAATTACTCTTTGAGAGCATTTCTCTCTAGAACTCCGAGTATTGCTGACTTGAGCGTTGGAGTGTTCTTCCCGAGGAAACAACCTTGGGATTTTCAGGTGTGGAAGCAGCTGAGGACTTCAACAGTGTTGGATTGCGAAGCTGCCCAAACATTTTGGCGCCGTCTGTGGGAACTCGAACAAGAAGTTGTGTGACTTAACCTGCTGAAAGACAAAATGGTCCGTACTTTTACAGGAGGTCGCCCTCCAAGAAATGAGATGGACGAACAGGAGGACGCCCAAGCATCTAAGCCCGGCTTACATGATTTTAGACCAATGCCCAGAAACCTTTTTGTTGGGGGAGCAGAACAGGATCACCTAAGCGAAACAGATGATGATGAAAGAACACCAACTGGGTATGCAACCCAGCCTGAACAGTTCCAAGTTCCAACAGGAACAAGATCAAGACCTTCTAGACCATACAATTCACAGCGTGAACGACCTGAAAGGTCAACAGAACCTGCTCGGACTACCGAGCTCGAAGAGAGAACCAGAGTTCTCGAAATGGCAATGGGAAAGATCCTTGCCCATTTGATTCCTGATAACCCCCTGATTCCTGATAACCCCCTGATTCCCTTGTTGAACAGGGATGCACAACCAGCTGCGGTTGTTGCAACTCGAAACTCCCCCGCTCTAAGCAACATAGTGGTGCCGACCAGGCCAAGGGGAAGTGGAAAGCTAAATATCGAGCCCAGCTCATCCAAGCACAGCGAAGAACTATTGAAGAAGAACGCAGACCTTGAAAGGCAGCTACGAGATGTACAAAAGTCTATAGATGAGCTGAAAAGTCCCAAGTCGTATCAGCAAACTCTTGATTTAGATAGCGCCCCATTGAACCTATCCATCACAGCAGAACCGTATCAAGAGGGATTCAAAATTCCCCATTTAGAGACGTATGATGGCTCGGGCAACCCAGATGAACATCTGCACACTTATCAAGCCATCATGAGAATCCAAAACGCCAATGATGCCATGATGTGCAAAGTGTTCCCAGCAACACTTAAGACAACAGCCAGGAGATGGTATCACAAACTCCCCAGACATTCCATAGACTCGTACTCCCAGCTCGCTAAGCTATTCTCCAACAAATTTGCGAGCCAAAGGGAGATTAAACGTACAGCGACTGAACTAATGCAGGTTCATCAAAAAGAGGGAGAGTCTTTGAGGGACTACATGCAACAATTCAACAAAGCTACTTTGGACATTGATAATGTCCCCGATACCATTTGCTTATCTGCCTTGTTGCATGGCCTGAAGCCTGGCCGGTTTTTGGACGACCTGCTGGAGAATCCACCCAAGTCATGGAATGAAGTAAATGACAGGTCGGCGAGCTTCATATTGTCCGAAGATTTTCAATCTTCTAAGAGACGAGCTGATGACAGGCACGGAAAAGAACCCAAGCAGCCTAAAAACAAAGATGACAAGAAGAAACAGAAGGTTGGCGAGCAGAGAGGGAAACCACCCTCTTATCCAAGATATGACAGCTATATACCCTTGAGCTCGTCACGATCCCAGATATTGTCACAGATACAGCATTGGGTCAAGAGACCCCCTCCACAAACGCATGATTCTTCACGAGCTGACAGAAGCAAATATTGCGACTATCACCGTGTCTACGGCCATAACACAGAAGACTGTCAGAGTCTGAAGGACGAGCTCGAATTCTTGGCCCGTAATGGAAAATTGGAGGGGTATGTGTAGAAGCCTTTTGTTCGGCAACCCACCCAGACCCATTTTGTACAAGAGTACGGCCGACCTCAAGCACCTGGGTATCAGCTCGGTAGCAATCCAAATTCTTACCAGACAGGTCCGTACTCATTTGAGCCGAACAGAGCATACAGAGGACGCCCGTTCAATAGGCGTGGGCAAGGACAGAAAGCACCTACGCAGAACCAAAAAGACCACAGAGGAGTCGGGTACGGTGGAATACCCCCGCCATTTGGCCCAATCAATATGATCTCTGGTGGTATACATGCAGGAGGTCAAAGCGCCCGAGCCCGCAAGGCGTACGCTCGCCAGGTGATGACAGTAAATAAGAACCGGCCCCTTAAGCATCCATTTGAGGAGGCAGAGTGGCAGAATGCGGCCATAATGTTTAGCCCGGCAGATTACCAACGAGCAGGAGAGCCTGACGTCGTGATGCCTCATGCGGATCCTTTTGTAGCAACAGTCCATATAGGCAACCATAACGTTAATAAAGTCTTCATTGACACTGGGAGCTCGCCTGATATCCTGTATTGGAGCTGCTTTCAAAAGATGCAGCTGAACCCCAGCTCGTTACAAAAATATGAAGGGCCTATCTATGGGTTCGACAATCAACCTGTTCCAGTGGAGGGAGTAATTACACTTCCCATTTACGTGGGCTCAGAACCACGCTTCAGGATGGCTTCAGTCAGTTTCCTGGTCGTCAAAATGGAATCAGCCTTCAAGGCCATGCTAGGAAGGGCTACTCTGTGCGAACTGAAGGCTGTCATCTCACAACCCCATCTCTGCATGAAATTCCCAACGCCTCAAGGGGTGGGAGTGCTGAAGGGGAATCAGAAGATGGCCAGGGCATGTTATCAGGATACGTTTAAGAAGGTTGAGCTCGCTGTAGCCCCTGGAGGATCTGAAAGTAGTAGGCCGACTCAGCCCGGCCAGCAGACAATGAGCATATCGGACATTGAGCATAGACCTGAGGGTGTCGAGCAAAAAGCAGAGCCGGTAGAGCCAGTGGAAACTGTTCCTTTAAACCCTGATGTGCAGGAAAGAACAGTAAAGATAGGCACCAAACTCACAGAAGAAGAACGAGCAGAGCTTCTGGAGTTTTTGAGGGTCAATCAAGATGTGTTCGCGTGGACTACTGATGAAATGCCTAGCATCCCGGCGGAGTTGACAGTCCACAAACTCAGCACAGATCCCACCAGAAGGCCGATGGTGCAGAAACGTCGCCTTTTTGGCCCAGAGAAACAAGCCGCCATAGACGAGGATATACAAAAGCCGTTACAGGCAGGCTTCATTAGAAGAATGGAGTACTCTGAATGGGTGTCTAACCTTGTGCTCGTCAAAAAGCCAAATGGCAAGTGGAGGATGTGTATTGACTTCACCAACCTCAATGATGCGTGTCCGAAAGACCCTCATCCCTTGCCAAACGTCGAGAAGTTAGTGGAGCGGGCAGCTGGGCATGAACGGATGAGTTTTCTTGACGCCAGCTCAGGCTATCACCAGGTTCAGTTGCTGTTGGACGATAAGGAGAAAACAGCTTTCTACGCTGGTGACGCTATCTATTGCTATGTGATGATGCCATTTGGCTTGAAAAATGCTGGTGCTACATATCAGAAGTTGGTACAAATCATCTTTAAGCTCCAGATCGGCAGAAACATAGAAGTGTATGTGGATGACATGATAGTCACCAGCGAGCGAGCTGAGGACCATATAGACGACCTGAGTGAGACCTTTCAAAATCTGCGCCGGGCCCGAATGAAGCTGAATCCCATGAAGTGCACATTCGCCGTAGAATCAGGAAAATTCCTAGGGTACGTTGTATCCAAGAAAGGAATCGAAGTGAACCCAGAGAAGGTTCTGGCTGTTCAGCAGATGGAGCCTCCCAAGACTGTAAAAGACGTGCAGCGCTTGACAGGTCGTATAGCTGCGCTGCACAGATTCATAGCCAGGTCGGCAAAAAGATGCCTGCCGTTTTTCAAAGCCTTGCGAGAGCCCAAGCACTTTCAATGGACCGACGAGTGTCAGCAGGCGTTTGACGAGCTTAAGCAGTACCTGACATCTGCACCCCTGCTGTCCAAGCCGGTAGAAGGGAGAGTTTATACTTATACATGGGGGTTACAAGAGAGGCAGTGAGCTCGGTCCTACTCAGGGAAGAGAATAGGAATCAAAGGCCTATATGCTATGTAAGCAAGGTTTTACAAGGTGCATAACAGAACTACCCATTAGTAGAAAATGCTGCTTTTGCCCTGGTTTACACAGCTCGTAAGTTGAGGGTTTACTTCCAATCGCATCAGATTGTTGTCTATACCGACCTGCCACTAAGAAAAATACTGCAGAACCTAAACTCTCGGGTTGGCTTATTGGGTGGAACGTTGAGCTGAGTGAATATGACCTCAAATTTCAACCGCGCACGACCATAAAAGGCAAGGCCGTTGCAGACTTTCTGGTGGAGTGCATCTCAGCAACCAAAGAAGAAAAAGTACCCGAACACCCAACTTGGGTTTTGTATGTTGATGGAGCAGCCAACATTGAAGGGTCGGGTGCTGAGGCTGTGTTACTGGGCCCAGATGGCTTTAAATTTGAGCACGCACTGAGGTTTAAGTTTCAGACAACCAATAATGCTGCAGAATATGAAGCCCTCATTTACGGACTGAAGCTAGCGTCCGAGCTGAAGGTGCGAAGCATCCGGGTTTTCAGCGACTCTCAGCTCGTGCTGGGCCAGGTGAATGGCAGTTGTGAAATTAGGGACCCCCAGCTCGGTCATTATGCCTCTCTGGTCAACAGATTGAAGTCAGTATTTGTCCTCTTCCAAATTGATAAAATACCAAGAGCAGATAACCACCAAGCTGACGAGCTGTCAAAGTTGGCCTCCTCGCAGAACATTAACCCTCGGAGATCAACAATCGTCGAGGTACTCGACGCACCGAGTTACACTGATTTCACAGTCGAGTGTCAACTGCTAAGCACAGATCCCTCTACGCCGAGCTAGACCACCCCGCTCATAAATTATCTGCAAAGTGGCAAACTACCTGAAGACCAGTCCGCTGCAAAATTGACTAAGCGGAGGGTGGCACATTTCACTTTGTTAGATAACCAGCTCTACAAACGAGCAGCCTCAATGCCCCTATTACGCTGCCTTACTCCTTATGAGGCTGAATACGCTGTGAGGGAAGTTCACGAAGGAGTATGTGGTACGCACATCGGTGGCAAAACTTTAGCTCGGAAACTCCTGAGGCATGGATATTACTGGCCCACTATGGTCCAGGACGCGCAGAGCTATGTCAAAAAATGTCCGACCTGCTAGTTTAACGCTAATGATATACACATGCCAGGTATCTGAGCCTGTTCTAAAGGCCATGCAAACTTCCTGTTTGTCTATAAACTGAGTGTAAGTATCTTTTTTAAAACAGGGGAAATGCTATCCTCTCTTACATCACCCTGGCCCTTTGCTCAATGGGGTGTCGACCTGCTCGGCCCTTTCATCAAAGGCAAAGGAGGCTGCACTTTCCTGGTCGTTGCAGTGGATTACTTCACTAAATGGATAGAAGCTAAACCTTTGTCCACGACAACAGAAAGGAAAATAGAAGAATTCTTGTTCAATTCAATATTGTGCAAGTATTCTTTGGTGATTTCAGTCATAAATAAAATGTATGCAAACGTAGTTCCTAGCTCAGCTCGATCATCTGTGCGCAGGTTCGGCATACCTAAGCGGATTATCGTCGACAATGGGCCGCAGTTCCGAGCAGCAGCACTGAGATCGTTCTGCAACAACTATGGCATCGAGCTCTCCTTGACGTTTGTGTATACTCCGCAATCAAACGGGCAGGCCGAGTCTGCCAATAAGATTGTCTTGCGAGGCCTCAAGGTGCGTGTTATAGCCGCGCGTTCTAATTGGGTTGACGAGCTCAATAAAGTACTGTGGTCATGTCGTACTACACCCAGCTCGGCCACAGGCGAAACCCCGTTCAGCCTAACATATGGAGTTGAGGCCGTCATCCCTGTCGAAGTCGAGTTGCCATCTGCTAGATCAAATCGTCATGACGATCAGAATAACGAGCAACTTTTAAGAGAAAACCTAGACCTAGTGGAGGAAATCAGGGAAATGGCTCGAATTAGAAACATGGCACACCAAAGTCATGTTGCAAAATTCTATAACAAAAGAGTTCGAGCTCGACAGTTTCAAGTCGGCGATCTGGTTTTACGCAAAGCTGGACTAACCAACGTCTATTCACACATGGGCAAGCTCGCCCCTAATTGGGAAGGGCCTTATATGGTTATTTCCATTCAGCGACCTGGGTCTTACCAGTTGGCAGATTTTCAAGGTCACCCATTACCATTTATTTGGAACATACACAATCTTAGGAAGTTTTACAGTTAGTGTGTATTTTATTAGTGTTCAGGTCATTACTGATCGTTTGTAAACAGAGATTTACTAAACATTCAACATAGAAACCTTGAAACAAGAAATTCGAATTTGTATTTCAATGAAATTTTACATGTGTGGTACATTGCGTAAATAACTTCATTGATTAACACAAAAATACAAAAAAGAAATACAAAAAATCCTAAGCTCGTCGTCCGTCAAATCGACGGGGATGGATGCGTTGTTAAGCTCTGAAGCAGACCGAGCAGGAGATGGCCGATCTGAAGGAGAAGGAGCAGGAACAGCGGCTGCAGCGGGCAAGGGTTGAGGCTGAGCAGGAGGAGTGCTGGAAGGTTCAACAGACACGTCTTGGGGGCCTGCCACCCAAGCGTCAAAGCTTGGCAACCCCTCTGTGTCCTCCCCTTCTTCCACTATAGCAGGAGGCCACACGAGCAGCCCCTCCTCATTGAGCTCCCATTTCAGCCTCACCCTGGTATCTGCGGGAGGGGCAAGACTCTTCCCGTCACCGTCGATCTCCTTGCCCTCGTAGAAAGCCATTTCGCCGATCGGAAAATCAGCCTGCGCTTGTAGAACCTTTCCACGAACTTTGTTGAAAATGTCCGTGGTGGTGTTAGCAGAGGCGACTGCAACGGCGTCCTGGAACATTTCTGCTCCCACCAGCCACTCAGCCCCCTGTGCGCGGGCAAAGCAGACGTCGTGCTGATGCAGCCTCTTGGTGCTATTCAGGGACGCCTCTGCTCGGGCAATGTGTTGATCGGCTTGTGACACCCTCTCCCTCAAGGCGCTCAGCTCGCGCAGAGTGCTGTCTTTTTCTGACTCCGCCTTCCTAGCTCGTTCTTCTGCACGACTGAGCTCCTCCTTGGCAGCTTGGATGCCCGTCTCTTTCTCCACTTGAGCTCGCTGGAGCTTCTCCTTCAGCTCATCAACCTTGCGGGCCAACTCATCCGCCCGGCTCTCAGCTGACGCCGCTCGGTTCGCCATCTCCGAGCTTTGCAAATGATTGACCTCGTCGGCCAAACTGGCTTTTTCGGAGGCCAGTTGTTTGCAGTTCTGTTGGAGCTCATTGTTCTCCGCCCTCGATCCTTGCTCGCACTCAAAGAGTGCGACGGTGTAGCTGAACGCCTGCAATACATGTTAACTCGTCAGTAACTAACGCAAAATCATAACATATTAACAGTGAGCTCGGCCGGTATACTTACATCCATCAGCTTATTAAAGCAGCATATCCTCCATACTGCTGAACGAGCCCCTTTGCACGTAGCCGATCAGCAGGGGGCACAAAGCTCTGCATCCCCTGCAGCATAGCGGCTTGACACTCTGTCCGGGCGTAGCTGAAGCCGTCCGGATATGCAATCTTGGGCCCCACCACCGAAGACAAGGCGGGGGCTGCTTCAGCAACCTCTCGAGCAGATGCTTGGGGCACGCTAGCAGGTCGTGCAGTGACGGCTGGGGCAGGCTGCGAGCCAGCACTTGTCCTTCGCCGGATGAGAGGGACGTCATCCTCCGCGTCAGACTCCTCCCTCGCACGCCTTCTGGAGATGGAAGGCGCAGTCTCCCTCCTCTGCTCGTTACGCGGCCTATGTGATGAGCTGGAACTCCTATGCTGGGAGCTGCGCCCCGGCGCAGCAGGTGGCCGCTCGTCAAAGCGGGATTGGCGCTGGGAACTAGACCCAGCGCCCCGGCCCCCTCATCCTTGAGCTCGCTGACGTTGTCGCTCAAGGATGCTGCTCATGACTCCTGCACAAACAAAAGCATAAGACTCAGATCGGCTAGAAACTGTACTATTATATAAAAATATACCTTGAGAGTGTAGATTTGCCACGTCGAAAAATCCGAGAAGTGCAATCTGCTCCTGGGTAACCAAGGCTTCCAAATCCACCAACCCCCTCGCCTTCACATAGTCGAGCAGCCGGTTCTTCAGGTCGACATTACCGCTGGTCAACTGGGGATAGTTCATGTATGTGTTCAGCGTACGCCACTCTGACAAGCGGGCGGCGAGCTCGTTGTTAATCCTGTCAGTTCGCGTATCCCGCACGAACACGAACTGTCTCTTCCACCTCGCCACCTTATTTCTGATGTTGGTGAATATCATCATCTTCTCCCTGCCCGAGATGTAGTACCACCTCGTCCCACTGGTGGACAGGCACAAACGGCACAGAAAGAGCGACCTGAAGACCACCGCCTTTGTAGGCATCCCTAGCCTTTCGCACAACAGCATAAAAGCCTATGATGAACTTTATGCTGTTGGGAGTAAGTTGCGAAAGGGCCAGCTCGTACTCTGCCAGGACATCAAAAATTAGTCCGGGCAGAGGAAAACGTAGATCGGCCTCAAAATGGTCTACGTACACTGGCACCCAGCCCGTCCGTGATACTGAGCACGCCCTTTCATTTGGTGTACCAGCTCGGATCAGGATGGTTCTGGGGATCTGGAATCGCCTCACCATCTGCTCTAGCTTCTTATACCCTTTCACCGTGGCTGCCCCATCTGCAACTTCGTGGTGCAGAACCGCCCTGAACCTAAATCCGGCTGGTAGGGTTTTGGGAGCTTTACGGAGATTGTCTAGTCGCCCGCTGAGAACCTAGCTCTCCCACCGTTCAAACAAAACCACCTCAACTGCTGTACTCGCCAACGGCATGCTACACCCAACCTCTTCAGCACCCCTTACTTCGCCGGATGTCCCTTCCACAGGCGAATCGCTAGAAGTTGAAGGCTGGTGGTTCTCAGAGCCACTACTCGTGCTCGAACTACTGCTATTCTCAAGCGTGGCTGTTCTAGGCGAATCTTGCAACTTCGACGGCACTATCATGGTGATAGGCTCCACAGATATCGCGTCTACGTCCTCGTCTTCACCTTGGTTACCCCGGAATCCTTGTGCATCGTGTGAAGAAGTCATTTTTACCTGAATAATGGAAGTCGAATGTCCTTTCACTGAAAATTCTGAGGAACACTCTAGAGCGTCTCTGCAACTGTTGCTGAGGAAAATGTTAACGTACTAAGCAATGAAACAGAAATTCCCTTTTGTTTTTCTCCTTCAGATAGTGCTCTGTAATTTTCGTACGCGTGTTATGACCCCCCAGTTAAACGCGTCCACGTGGCAGCCATTTATGGGCAAAAACTCAAAATGCGCCGTTTGCAGCTGTCACGTCCCCTCAAATGCTGAGCTAGCATTTATTGTGGGGAAGCAAAAGGGCATCTGCTAAAATCAGAAGAATACCAAACGCCTTGAGCAAATCTCCTCTGAGATTCGACACAGTTGTTGAAAAATCCGAAGGATCAGATCGCGACAAACTGCAATGATCAGCTCGTAACAAGTTTGGGACCTAGGCAAATCTCCTCAGAGATTCGCCATAGTTCAAAATTTGAAAAATCCAAGGGCCCAGCTCGTAACAAGTTGTTGAAAAATCCGAAGGATCAGATCGCGACAAACTGCAATGATCAGCTCGTAACAAGTTCGGGACCTAGGCAAATCTCCTCAGAGATTCGCCACAGTTCAAAATTTGAAAAATCCAAGGGCCCAGCTCGTAACAAGTTCGCGATCTCCTCACGGATCTGCCAAAATTCAAAACTTGAAAATTTCGAGAAATCAGCTCGTCACTAAATTCGGAAAACCTCTGGAGATCAGGTCGCACAAATCATGGATTCACCTCAGGTTCGGGCGTCAAGCGTTAGATTATAACCAACTTCCTCAGAGCTGCTCTGTATCCCAGAGACCTATATCGAAGTGACGAGTGTGGTCGCTATTCTCTGCCCGTCTAGGGTCGGTGCGTTCAGCTCGTTCACTATCTGCTCGCCTCAGCTCCGCCACAGGGAATTCCTCATGCAAGGTCACTCTGGCATGGCTGCTCGACCCTCTGAATAGCACCGAACTCGACCGGTCGTAAAACCAACTCCTCACGCCTGCTCGGAATAAGGCCGGCATACACTGACACATTTGGCCAGGCACGATGCCTTCAAGTCGGTCAGGCCGTCCATACGTGAGGTCGTTCATGAACGCAAAGTATCCCTCCTCATCTTTAGGGCCAGGCACCAGGCTAACAAAACTCCCATCCAGTTCGTCAACCGAACGCTGAGGGGGGAGTAATGTTGGGATCAGGCCCAACGCCCACTTCGGGCCACATATGACAGGCCCAACCATGCACACATAGACCCAAGAGGAGGAGACATACCCACGTGAGCAGCACCACGTGGGCCAATGAATTACTTACATATAGTGATGCATGTTAGCATTTGGGGGTATAAATACCCCCCAACCACCAACAATGAAGGTAATTAATCTCTACGCTTCTCTCCCTGCAACCACCAGCATTTCTCTCTAGAACTCGAGTATTGCTGACTTGAGCGTCAGAGTGTTTTCCCCGAGGAAACAACCTCGGGATTTTCAGGTGTGGAAGTAGCTAAGGACTTCAACAGCGTTGGATTGCGAAGCTGCCCAAACAATGCCAAATGACAAATCCTTTCTAGATGACATAGGCAGGGTCCTGTGCATAGGTTGTTCTCTTCTCTTCCAGGTTCTAGCTCTTTGTTGCTTAGAATATATATAATAGATCAATAGATCTTAATTGTCTGCAAATTGGCATGAGTAAATCTTCTTGTAGAATTGTAGCATGCTCTGGAACGGTGAACAACAGCTTAGCGATCTCTGTGTCCATATCTAGAATGTCTGACCTCCCAACTCTGCTATTGATGTATTGGGGCTATTGGTTGTATGCTTGTCTTGCTTTTGTCTATCTGAGAGGGAATATTGTAGAGGCTGGGCAGGTATTTGTTGCGGCACAGAAATTCTAATTCAAAATGATGCTACACAAATGGTTAGATTTTGTTGTACCAATGTGATTGGCATTTGTGACTGAAAAAAATTGATAGTGGTTGGTCTCTTTTTCTTTGTTAATACCTGATGGTTGTTTAGCATTGAAAAGGGTTACTATTATTTGCAGTTTCTCCAACTTTTGAAGGAATTCTTTTAAAATGGTATTAAAGTGATCACAGAACTTCTTTTTGTAAGTGAAAATAAAGATGAAGTTAGGGTCAATATGCAAAATCATGGTAGCCTGTATTACTTCTTAGTTTGCAGTTTGTAGGTGATGGAATTTTCAAATAATGAAACAGTTGAGAATGGATTGCACCGAATCTTTAGTTCCCTAAGTTTTTAATTCATTTTGAAAAAAATTGTCTATTCTTTATCCGAACTTTTATACATAACCAGATACTGAGTTGGTCTCTATTGAATTTCTGAAGACTTGTTGGAATGCTAATTTTTTTATTATAAAAAAAAGATAAAATCATAAAAAATAAGGCTTAGAAACAAGGAAATGTGGTTCATTTTCCTTGAAAGTAAGGAATAGGTCTAGTATCGATATTTTGTTTTGAGAGTCACTCCACTTTCTTTTTCTCTATAGATTATGAGTTGAAGATGCACTGCATGTGTAAAAACAGATATATTTTTGCATTCCATGTTTAAAATGTTTTGAGCTATTCTTACACTTCTGCTTCTATTGTGCTTTGCTGGAAAGTGTTGAGAATATCAGGTTGATATTGGATGGAACTTATCAATCTAGGGCTAGAACTCCTGTTTTGATAATGTAGTGGTGGTAGTCCGAGGTCATGTACCTCGTTGTAGTCCAAGGTCACGTACCTTGGACAGTTTGAGCTAGTCCCAACAATTTAGTCACCTCGATGTTAAGGAACAACGAGCTCAGTCGAGTTCGAGCTCGTCCCCTTTGCTCCTATTCTACAGTAACTTCATACATGCACAGATCTTCCAGGAGAGTTTCTTGCGATCATTGACACATATTATCCAGATTGCCTGTGAAGAACAACACATGGACGCCCCCTTGAAGGCTATAAATACCCCCCAAGGGCCCTCCCCAAAAGGTAATGGAAACCGACCTCAAGCTTGGTTCTTGCTCCATATTTGGTAGCTTTGATTATTGCTGATTTAGGCATCTGAGTGTCTACCCGAGGACCAACCTCTGGGCTTTGCAGGTTGGCAGAGGGGAAGATCCGGGCTCGAGAGTACTGTGGAGTTCTTTGCAACAACAGATAACAGTGTAGTCCTTTTCTCTATTGCCTGTTCATTTGCCTTGGATTCCAAAGAATTGTTTTCATGCCTTATATTTTTTTATTTTCATTCATCTTCCTTATACAGTCTCTGACAGGTTTTAGAGAATCTATCATGCTTTTGCTTTTTTAACCATTAGTAGCTTGTGATGCCCCCAGATTGTATTTTCTGATGCTTGGTAGATTGGCAAAAAAGATGATAACCCAGAAGAAAACTGGCTTGATTTTCCAAAGGATATGACTGAGCTTGGTTTGTCAACTACTACTTTCACATGTTCGCTGTCAACAAGGAGATAATCTCCCTTAGTGACAACATTCTCAGTCCATCTTTGCTTTCAGGGGCAGCCAATGGACTTTGATTTTAAAGGTAGTCCAGGGCATGTCTGTTAAGGAGAAAGAAGTTCCTAGAACAGGAGTAAAATATCAAGAAATAAAGTCCCCTGAACCTGATTCAGGAGATGATTTATCAGATGAAACCAAAAACATGAAAGATACAATGGAAGTGACTCCCACTCAACATTCTATGAGAACTACTGGCAAAAATTTCAAGTACTAGCCTGGCTATTAAATTTATTTTATATGTGGTTTTTATTTTATTTTTAAAAATATTTTTTCCCCATTTTTTATGCTTGTGAGGACAGTGGTATGAAATGATAAGTAACTTTGGCTGTGATCATGCTAACACTAATTCACCATTTCCCATCCAAAAATTGTACTCAAGTTTCAAGCACACTTGGGCTGTTGGGCAAGATTGGTGTTAGGAATGGTGCTAAGACATCCTTTTTTTTTGCCCTTCTTTTAAGTAGATTGGGATCTACAGTGAAGGCTTAGGAGGATTTGATTTTTATGCATTCCCTTTTGTTTTAGGATCCAAGAGTTGTGTCTGTACCCAGTTCATTGTGTCCAATAAATGTCTGATATGGCTTTGTGTTGAAGAATATGAGTAACATTTGATTATGTTGAGCTTACATCGATGCCTTTTGGAGTATTTTAAAATTCTAATTTTTCCTTTATCTGCTTCTATTGATTTAGGTTTGCTGAAGTTTCTTCTGACGATGACATTGTTGGAAGTGATGGGGATGCATCAAGTGGAGAGTAAAAGAAAGTTGGTGTGAAACTTGATAAAGCTGGAAACGTGAGAGTGGGTAAATCTCCTATTTTATGTATTTTGAAAATATACCATTTTCCGAAGTACATTCTCATCGTACTTTTCTGTAGATATGCAGTTGAATTTTAAATTTCAATGTCTGTCCATTTAATCACATATTCTTTCCTCATTTCTTTGTAGCTATGGACCACTACTTCCTGTCCCGTGGTGATCAGCACTGAAAATGAAAATGCTGCAGAAAAGAATCAGTTCTCCCATGAAATTCAAGTGTCTGTAACTCCAGCAACAAAGTCTAGAGAAAGGTCTCAGTCAGCTGTTACAATGACTAGATCTGAGGAAACCTTGCAAAGTAAATCTGGTTCACTTGTTCAGGCCACCATATCTACACTGTTAAAGAAAGTGGAGGAAAAGGTAAGGAAAAAACTTGGTTAATCTGATAATTGGGATTAGGAGTTTGCTTTTGTAGGTTTTTTAATTATTATTATTTTTTTTTTAATGGCAATTGCTATATAGTTAATAAATTACTTTGTTGACAATGACATACTTTCACCTCTAATACTTAATTGCATAACTTAGTTACTTAGTTTGCTAAGACATGCCTGCATGTTTCTTCCTGAAATAAAAATACAACATGTGCATGCATATCTATGTATGCAATCTTGTGCTTCTATATTTATACATAGGTTTCTGTATTTGCTTGTAATATATCTGAGGTTGTTTTTGTTTAATTTTTGGGGTGTTGATTTCTCATTTATCATTATAGCTGGCTTCCCTATGTGTTAGCAAAGTTTTTCAAGTGAACCTAAATATTTTTTATTTTGTTGCTTCTGCAAATTTTGTGCCAAAGAAACAAGAAAAAACCTAATTTATATGCACTAGTAAAAGACACTGTTTATGTTCATTTTGGGCTGAAACTAACTCTGGATTTACAAGCTTTTTATTCTATAAGTTATTCTGTATATCTGTATGCAATTTACATAAATTCTATCACTTTCTAACATGTTATGTATATAAATTTCACCAAGTTAACTGTTACACTTAACAATCAATTCATACTGTACTTGTCTTATAGTCAACCCAAGCTGGTAACTATAACAATTTAATAAAGATTGTCTTTCACATTCTCTTTAAATAGTTGAAAATTTGTGATATGAATGTGACAATTAGAAATATACAATCAACTTTAGATTTGGCTTGCATGATTTGATTTCAATGATTGAACTTTCAATATGAAGGTTGGTTTATTGAAATATGAACTTTTGAAAACAATAGAGTAGTTGAAGAGTTGAAGATTTTTAAGTTGGTGTAAGTTGATCTTTCCTTCCCCAGGCATTGGTTCAGATGGCATCAAATAGTTAGCTGTGTTTTTACTACTACCTTTTTCACCTTTACTGTCATGTTCCACTGATTAATGCTCTTGATAAATATAATTTCCTATATTTAAAGGCCTGAATTTCTTTTTTCCTAATAAAACTGTCTTAGGCCAGCAGGTGACAAGGGATTCAATGAAATCTTCATCCTCACAAGGTTTTCTTCTGTGTGAATGTTAAGAATAACTATTAAGATTCTCTATTTTCTTCCCACCTGTTGAAGGTGCAAGCCAAAAGTTGCAGCAGAATAAATTGAAAAGAAAGATTGATCAAGTTGAAGTGAGTTCTTTTTATGATTTTCTTCCCCTTCTTTTCTCTTTTCTTCAATCACAGATACCTTTTGCCATAAATTTTTAAGTTTTGCAACTTCTTGCGGCTTGCCATTCTCCTCTTTGCAAATGCTGAATTTTGAAAAATTGGGGGCGTTCTTGTGGGTCAGGGTTGCAGGCTGAAGAAGTATTATTCTTCTATTCTTGCAGGCTGGAGGATCTAGTTAAAAAGGTGAAGGTTACTAAAGAGGCAAAAACTGGTTAATGTTCCACCCCTTTAGTACAAAATTGCATGTTCATATGCACCTACATGCAACTTTGTTGAAAGGTCAAATTGATTAGGCTTTAATGGCCTAGAAGAATTAAGGTTAAAAGAAAAAGCCCAAAAAGGTTGGCACTTAGTCTAAATTTGTAAATTTTAAAAGATTTTTATCTTTAATTTAATGCTCCATCCCTTCAAAAGTGTTTTCAAACAAAGCCATTGGTTGAGATTTGCTTTGCTTGCAAGTCATCCATGAGTTTGTTCATTCTTAGATTAACCCTAGCCATCAGCTCAAAGCTGGATCATTTATTAAACAAGCTTCAAACTCAACCTGGCTTGTTTATAAGATTATGAACAAGCCTAGACAAACTACTTTGAGTAGCTTGCAAGTCACTTTGGATTTGCTTTGAGCCCTAGGTCCTTGTCATTGTATGTATCCAGCTCTTAAATTTGGTAGAATTTTGTTAGATTTATTTTATTTTCTTTTCATTTTTAATCATTTTATAATTCATAGAAAAGGTTTATTTAAAACTGTAGGGACAGGAACTCGAGAAAAGAAGAAAGAATATGTGGTATCATTTTCTATATTTCAAATATTGTTTCTTTATATTGAAGGACTTATTTATGTTTTTCATTTTGATGAATGCATATTCAAGTACAGTTATTGGAGTAATTTTAGTGTGATTAATCTCTTCTCTTGATTGTAAATTGTATATCCTATTTGATTTTGACATCTAATATTTTGAATGATATACACCTAAATCTGGCAAAAGTTCATTAGCCTTGTGAATCATCAACTTTTTATTTATTGACTAAATTGTATTCACATGCAAACCGTGTGATAACTAATTATGTAGGTGATGTTCTTTACTGTTGATTAATGGGTTGTTAACATTGTAAAAAAGCTTTTCAGGCTGAAGATGAGGACATTGAAGAATTCTCAAGCACATTGCAGGTTTGACATCTCATCAACTTCTATGCTGTCTATGCTGTTTTGGATTTTTTCCTTGGTGTTATTCTACGGAATTGGGATAAGAAAAAAAAAAAATTCTAACTACTAAAGCGAACATTTGACAGTCAATTGATATCAGCATTTTTGGGTGTGCATGTAAATGAACCAAGGTCTTAACTAACAGTCCGTGCTTGAGCTCAATTAGGTTCCACTTCAATTCTATTTAAGTTTGAATCTTTGGTTAGTCTGATTTAGCATGAGCTCAGCTCAAATATCATTTACTATACATTATATTATATTTTTTTGAAGGGTTGGAAATTATACATTACTCATATTCAGATATTATATTTTTAAATCAAATTTATATTATTTAAAGAAGGTTACTATAGGAAAGAACATAGAAGGTCAATTACAGTGCCAAGGGTTTTTATTCATGCAAGGTGTAAGCAAATGTCCTCCTATAAATTAGTTACAAGATTTAAGCCAGACACTTTATCCATCCAAATAATAATAATAAGTCAATTTAGTTAATATGCTTCCTTCTCTTGCAGGATACTAATGGAAGTAATGAGAATTGCGATGCTTCTGATTCTGAACACCACAGTGGTAAACATGGGAGGGCATAAGCAAATCCAAGCATCTGTAGGTGATATTGAACAGCAGAAGAAAAACCAATGTGTAAGTCGAGATGTAAGGTTCTGTAAATGCAAGGTTTTCTAGTTGTGAAATTTGTTATTAGTACAGTGGGAAGCACTAGGATATTTTGGGCTCCCTGCCATACAATACTACATGCAATGTACACAATGTGTTTCACCATTGTCAGACATGCTCAAACAAGGATGTATTCGCACGTTATTTTTAGCTCTTATCCCACCAAAGAGTCAGTTCATTCCTCTTGCATCTAATGCTCTTTACCATACAATTTCTCATGCTGAAACTTCACTATGCTGGAAAAAAGGAAAGGAAATTTAGAAATACAGTATTATACATGGGATACGTTACATAATCATAGACTACACTTCACTTTTATGAGTCATGAACTGATCAAACTTAGCGTTTGTTGCCCTTGACAGAAACTTCATGCAAATTGGGGGTTTAACGCCTGCTAAAGCAAGTATTGAACTAGGCAAAGTCCATAGACCATCCCCACAGATCAAACCAGAAGCCACCGCTGGCCCAAAAGCATCTGCCTTGGCCTTGTTTACCCTCTCCCACACAAACAATATCAAGCTCCCGACACACATGTCTATTGCAAAGTATGGTCCCAAGTAGAAAGGTATTGCCATTGCCATGGGAAGTGGGAAAAACCTCCCCACTTTGTTACCTGCCAGGTCCCTGATTAAGTTTATTAGGATGGCTGCCCCAAAGAATACATAACAAAGCAAGAGGCAATCTTTTGGCAAAGCAGAGAAACCTTGTACCCCCAATAATGCCATGTTGCGGTATACAATAGCATAAGGAGCTGGATATGTACTTTCAGGATTTCCCAGGTCCCCAAATGCCTTGTAGAACAGCCAAAAGACACAAGGAGAAATGGTGCATCCAAATGCTGTGCCAATCACTTGGCTAATAAACATTGATCGAGGTGAAGTCAGAGTCAGATAACCGGTCTTGAAATCCTGCATTAGGTCGGAGGCTGTTGAAACAATGTTCATCATGACTCCACAGGCTGCCAGCCCTGCAAGAACTCCCCCATGTGATCCTGCCCATGCCCCTATCACAAAGATGGCTAACTTTCCATAGGTAGAAGCCAAGGACCAATCAGTAAGTCCACACCCATATGCATTGCAGAAAGCCAGTGCTGGTGCAAAGATGTAGATGACCAATATGTAATACCATTTGAGTTGGTGAATGATGTGTGGCAGAACGATGGTAGAGATGACAGCAATCGTGACATAAGCTGCAACAGCAAACCATGCTGGGATTTGATCTTTAAGAAAGAGTTGGGTTCAGCGCTGGTCATCATAAGAAAGCTGCTTTGGGCTCTCTGTAGAGGGGTGATCTGCAACAGGGAGAGCATTTTTCTGTCGTACTTGATGAAACAAGCCTGAAATGGTTCGACCTAGCACCTTGAAAAAGTTGTATAGACCATCACCTAGAATCATGGCAATGGCGATAAACACCTAAATTTAGGAATAAGAAATGAGTCAGTGAGGAGGACGAGTCACATGAAACATGTAAATGTGGCACAAACTGCAGTTGTTTTATTAATCATGCATGAGACAAACCTTGTAACCTTGTAGGCCATGCATGTTGCTTGAGGGAAGCTTAGCACCATACCAGTCACCCTTTCTAGTTTCAATGAGAGGCCACATTAGACCCCATGAAAGAATTCCACCAAGCAGCAATGATATGTTAACGATGTATGGGCAGATCATCCCTACTCCAATGTATGTTGTTGAGAAGTCAAAGTAAAACCTGCAAAATACAAGTTATAACTTGGATCACAAGGCTTCTACAAATAAAACTAAATTCCTTGTGCAAGCATATTACTTCTCACTTATTAAAGAAGAAAGGGTCAGAGTGATTTAACACACTTGTATTTATATGCTTTCAGCCCAAATGTTGGGAAGTTTGCAAAACCACAATCATCTCCAGCAGTGAAAAACCATTGAAAGAAACCCCATAAGAAGCTGAGAGAAAAGAACTTGCCCAATGCTTTCACTTGCTTCCTGTAAAAGGCAAACAGATAAGACAAGTAGAAATTTCAAGTTTCTGATCCAATTTGGAAGCATAACCATGTCAGTGACATTACTTTGCTAGCTTGGCTCCTTCAGGGGTGTGGAAACTGTTGATAAGATGAGCAGTTGCAGTACCACTTGGATATGTCAGTTTGAAGTCTATAATCATGATCTGAAACAAAGAAAATACATTCATGAGCGATGCCTTGCAAGGGAACGTACATTTCCTCTAAATTATGCAAAGGTGCATACCTTCCTAAGAGGCACCACTGAGAAGAGGCCAAGAAAGCTAACAATGAAAAGAAAGCCAAACATCCATCCTAGCGAAGGGTTCTTGTAGTCACTGGTATCATCTGATTGCCTGGCAATGGCTTCGCTCATACCAAACATGTAACTCCCAAATCCCCCTATTCATAAAGAACCAACACACAGTATTTTCAACAAGCATTTGCAATTGAAAATTTTAAACGACTTCCACTATGTTTTTATTGGGAAGGGCATTTAGTTTTAGTCATAAACATAAACAAAGATTGCAAAACCCACAATCTTGGAGAAACATACCATAACAAATTGAAAACTATTACTATTTTCTTGTCCGAAATGAATCTGTTGCCCACTTCCCCTCCTACACCCCTCCCAAAAAAGTTTCTATTTGGCAAAAAACCTAAAGAAAAGAAGACAAATCTGCTTTTGGTACTTGAGGAAATGAAATACAAAAAATTAAAAAAAAAAAAAAAACAATAGATTCAAAATTCTAATCTTGATTCTTGATTCCATAATCAAAGGAACTCGACAGACTCCAACAGGGAAAAGCTCTAATTATAGGTAAACTAGACAGGATTTTATTTGCCCCAAATAATGCTTGCTAAATTATGAGGAAAAAGATTTAGAGAACATTCTAACAATGTCCTATGACTCAAGGAGTCTTGATTGGGTTGGCAGGGGATTCGTACTCCCTAGTCCCCACTTCACTGACTAAGATTAGATTCATTCAGTATGAATCCCCTAATCTCTAGCATGAAAAGCTACCAGTGATGAACCAAAAAAAAAAAAAAAAAAAAGACTATCTCACGTGATAGGTCGTTAGAAGAAACTAATTAGTAAAATTAAAATCTCTCTTTTCCTAAAGGAGTTCTTGTCAACTCATTTGATTACTAACTAGAACTTTGAATATGAGACCGTTGTTTACTAGTTTGCGCTATCTCAAACTTCTATGGGGGATTAATTGACTTAAGCATAGAAGTTCAGGGTTATTTAACGGTTCGGGTTCTTCCCAAAAAAATTCTCAACCCAAAATCACTAAATTATTTGGGAAGGTCACACTCACACCTTTGCACATCTGTAGTGGAGCCTAACAGTGACAAGACAAAGGTCCACACTTTTTTGTATTTCCGTCAAATTTTGCCAATATTCTTGCCGACTTCGCTGGCTTTGACGTCAAGGATTTCCTTACATCCTTCTTTTAATTTTCTAACAAGGCAAAATCCTCAACTTCCTTCTTATCTACCCATATTTCTTAAGGAACAAAATCAAAACTAAAAATGGAAAACTCATTTCTCTATTGCATACAAACTACCAAAATGAGAATTACGTTCTAATAAGAGAATCCTCTCTCTCTAAGGTTTCCTTTTTAACGCGGGGCTGGTGCAATGAGAAAAATTCCATTATATATCCTTGTCATACGAAGTGGTATCCCTTTCCACATCCTCAGAAATAATAGCATTTTATATTAGGTGTAGTGTCGATATTAAAAAACTAAACTACGCTCTATTAGTCGAGAAAACTAATACAAATTTTCTAGTGACAGGTTAGACTTTAAGTACGCAAGTCATATAAGACAGAATTATAAATTTCTAAAGTATTCTTTTTTTTGATAAGTAATGGTTAGGAAGTTAGTATTAGTTAGTTGTTAGCAACTGGTTCTCCGACTGGGTAAACATTCTACCATCTGAGATGAGGTGCCCGACCATAAAACTGTTTTTTGGTGGAATTCAGGATAGTGATGGAGCTCGAAACTCCATCTTCCTAACCCAAATATTTAAGGCTTGAAGTAATTGAACCTATAAAGGCTCCGGTTCCAAAGGGTTCTTTTTCTTTTAGTTGATGCTTTTTCTTTTAGTTGATGCTTTTTCTTTTAGTTGATGCTTTTATTCTATCCGCTCAATGTGTTTGTTTTTCAATGACTAAAAGACTAAAGGCAAACACGATACATAATTCCAAATAGGAAAAAATTTTATAAAGTTTGAATTGTACGATAACAAACATGTAATGAATAATTATTTTGTAAATTAATATGATTTACATTATCAAATATATATAATACTTTTTTTAAAGATAAAAAATATTTTATAATTTAAATTATAAAATATTAATTTTTTTATGAGATAAATATTATAAACCCTTCTCTTATCGCACAAATCATGTTTTAATATCTAAATTTTAAAACAGTACAAATTTTAAAACAAGATGCTCTCTTAAAAAAATGTCAAAGTCAAAAGACTAGTGCGGTACAATAGTAATTAATATTTCTGGAAAAGAGAAAAAAAAAGAAAAAGAAAAAGAAAAGAAATATCGAGAATGGACGGAAATGGAAGGCAGAGGGGCATACCGCTGAATGTGATTCCGGAGGAGGCAACGACACAGGTCTGGATGACGGTGTTCTCCTGGCGGGTAAACGCCTGCCTGAGGAGCCCAGATTTCTGAAGCATCTTGGTCCAAGTCTTGACAAAGAAGAAGCCCAACAAGCCAGCGGAGACGTTGAGAGAGGGAATAATCCCGGTGGTGAGGTTGAGTTTCATCACTATGAAACTGAACAGTACGCTCAAGACGAAACTCACCACGAACGCCCTCACCGTCAGCTGCCGCCTCCACGACGGCACCTCCTGCATATCGAACACCCTCTCAATCGACATCACGTCTTCCCCTGCTGCTTTCTTGTCGTCTTTGGGATTTGGATCCTCGTCGAACCCACTCTCCTCCTCCACCCCCCCTCTCCGTCCATTCCGATCCATAATTTTTGGGTACTGTGAAAATGGCTTTGGAGAATCTTACGAAGTGAATCTCATGATGGGTGTTATAGTGGAGGAAGCATATCTTTTGTGAATCTCATGTGGGATTTAGAGTGGAAGAAGCTTTACGGATTATATCACATCAAGAGCGTGAAAGGGGATGAAAAGAAAAGACGATAAAATGGAGAACAAAAGCGGCCCATTTTAAATATCAAAGAAAAAAAAAGTGGCCCATTTTAAAAATCAAAGAAAAAAAAAGCGGCCCATTTTATTAGGGTCAAATTGTCTGTCTAAGTCGTTGAACATTTAATGAGCATTAAATTCCCGTTTTGATCCTAGAGTAAACTTTAAAGAGTTGATTTTTTTTTTTTTAAAGATTTTCTATTCTCATGAATTAGGTATTTATAATTAATTTTATTAAAAATTTTATATTAAATTTATATTCTTTTACATATTTTGATTATAAATATTTTATTTATTTTAATTTTACCTTTCATGCATTTTTACAAACAAATTCTATGTGGAAGTTTTTTTTATTTAAAATTTCTTAATTAATAATACTCTTTTTTTCTTAGAATAATATAGTATATATATTTTTATTTCATTTTTAGATTCAAGATTT